GTCCGCCCCCGATAAGTCTTATCGGTTGAAGAATACACACACACACACACACACTCATACACATACACGTATTACACGTATTAACGAACAAACGGTTTGTTTGAACTACGCCGTCATCGCCACCGCCGCGGCCGCCGTTTAGTAGCGACCGTTCAAAAATCGCGAATCCGTCGGTGGATGAAGAACGACGGGGACGCGAATCGCTCRCGACAGATGGCGTTGCGGTGCACAATAATAATATTTTACACCAGTTTCCATTCTATATTTCTATAACAATGTAACGCGGCGGCGTTGGCGGCCGGTGAGTAAACGGCGCCGCGTGCGTGTGCTGCCGAAGCCGCCGTCCTCCACTCCTTCCGCGCGACGCACTGTCAAGCCTAGACGACCTTCATCTTCATTCCCGTTCGCCCTGCGCACACCGCTCACCGTGCGCGACCGGCGACCCCTCCGCCACCGCCGCCGACACCGTCTATCGTTCGTCGCGTATTACTCATACGTGTACACATAATATACATAGTTTTATTGTATAAATGTATATACAATATGCGTGCTTACGTTCCGCCGCGGCCGCTGCCGTCGTCCCGGTGCAACAGCAAAGCGGCCGCCGCCTGGTACACGCACACGCACACGCACAAGCTAGCGCGCGCACACTGTCGCACCACCGCCGATTGCCGAGTAGTCACTACTCAGTACTCACTACTTGCTAGTCGGCAGTCGCTTAGTCGCAGTCAGTCGCGGACGCGGTCGCGTATAACCGTCGTCKTACGTTCTATCGTTCTGTCGTCGTCGTTGCCGCGCCGTTATTATTTTTACTATTTTATTTTCCTAAATCTTCGACATAACACGAGTATTATTAGTATTATTAGTATTATTCGCCCGAAGAGCGAACGTTCTTTGCCGACACGAGATTTATAAAATTGTTATATGGTTAAAAGATAATCCGATAAATCGCACCTTGTGTTCTTGTCGTCGTGTACCAACGTCTTCCGGTCAACCAACACGTTCCACCGGATAATATTGGGATAACACTTAGAACGCCAGGTAATAATGGACATAATACTCGACATAATATTATATTTCATTGAATTAATRTTAGAATTTCTTATAATACACGAATTATGTGAATCAATTCAAAATTTGTAATCAAGTAAATGACTCTTCGGAATGTCCTGTCCCGTCAAAGACAGCCTGCACGTTATTTACAAAACAATAAAATGTGTTGTGCGTTCCGGGATAATAACAACAATATTTTGCTGTCTGGGCGTCCGCTTTGTGCCTGTGTCCGTCGGAAAAAAAAATGGTATCTGCGACGATACCGCGCAATGGGTCCGGTTTCATGTGCAATAATAACAACAACAATAATAATAATAGTAATAATGCAATAGCTCAGTCGTTTATTGTTATTAAAATACTATTATTATTGTTGTTAATATTTTTCGCCCGTTTTTAGCCATTGTTACACGATGGAACTTAGCGGCGTACCTATGCTAGGTGTCGGCTTGTCCTGACCAAKGGGGTGGTGGGAAGGGGGAAGCACAGGAATCGACGGTCGTGGGGTGGTCGGGGAGACGGAGAGGGGGGCCGTAACGGACGTGGCTAACAGAGATGCCGGTTGACGGCCTCTAGCTGCGGATGTTTTGTAACGGTACCGTGCCATTCTTTGTGAACTCTCGTCGTGCCCCGCCACCTCCACCACTGCCGCCGTCRCCACCGTTCTTTCCCGTCACCGCAGCCGCAGCCGCTACCACATTACCGCCACCCTTTTCCACGATTTTTCAGACCGTTGACCTTGAACGCGCACTCCGCGCCGCACGGACGCTCGCGCGCGCAACGTCGTTGCCGTCGTCGTCCTTATAAGGGCCACGATAACGTTATTTATTTTCAGTAGTACTCAAAATCGTAATCTCATTGTATACTGCCGATTTCGGAATTCGTCGAACGCGTGTTCTGTTCCCGTTGCCGTCTTATTGTTTGGATTTTTCTTCTCAGAGAAAATGCTTTTCCACCGTCGTGATCCAMTAGTATAACTTATTTCACGTCAACCTAGCATGCGGCAAGTTGCGAACACGACACAACACGATTTTATTATGTACGATAAGTCGATGAGTATAATAGATACATAACACGGTACATTTAAGCAATGTATACACACACGGTAGAATAGATACTCCTGAATAGTCGTAAAGTCAACGGCCGATACGCGCCGCCCCACGGTCTCGGTCATCTTTCCTAGGCCACGTAAAACTGCGGTCAAGGTCACTATTGAGCGTCCGACAACGACGACGACAACGACAACAATGATAATGATGATATTATTATTATTATTATTTTAAAAAGAAACCGATTGTTTTTGTTTATTCTTGTTATTATCCGTCAAAAACTACCTACTTATTTCTAAACTATTATAATATACGCCGCAATGCCGCATGCATTCGAAGTCATCGCTTCCAATGTTATAATGTAACACCAGTAGTACTGCTACTGCACCCAGCCAGGCCAGGATTAACTAAATGAATCCAAAAAGGCTAGTATTAATGACTCAGTAAAGCGATCGTCAAAACGAGGGACAAGGGTAGTAATTACTACATAATATATACGTTTTGTTTGGGCATATTATTAAAAAAAAAAAAAAATGTATTATATAAAATTGTAGGAACCGACAAATATACACCGTATGCGAAATAATGCATTTAAGGTCACCCAATAATGCCGACTAAATTTCTATTCAAATTAAGATTAGTATTGGATATTAATGTATTATGTATAGGGGCCCAAAACTCTTATTCCGGTCCTGACTTCCTGAGTACACCTTAACGTGATAGCGTATAGCAGCGGTTCTCAACCTTTTTATAGTCACGTACCACCTACACAATTTGAACATTTTTACGTACCACCTGACCATTTTTTGTTTATTAATAATGTATACCTACGTTTATGTTATATGTATAGAATTTTGTTAATAAATTAATTTTTTATAAAGGTAGATTTTCTTCACTTACCACCTATGAGCTTTCCGTGTACCATATTATTAGTGGTACGCGTACCACAGGTTGAGAACCGCTGGCGTATAGCATGAYGGACGACGGTCGGTGGATAGCCGTTTTATGTAAACTTTTAAGTTATGACTTGTCTTACAACTTACAAAATGTATGATGTTATGTAGCGTATCTACATTTGGAACTATAATTTCGTATCGGTGCATTTCCAGGGGCATTTCCACATTACCATAAGTGCATAAAAATTATCCGTATTGACCGTATTTGTGGCATAGTTCTCGCGTCGAATAATCAATATGCCTTGTCCTAATGGGTATAATCTCGAAATATAAAATTGTTATAAGTTACAGTTTACCTCTACAATGTCTACATAATAGACGATTCGTAAAAAGGCCTTCTAATAAACCGCGTATACTGCAGTAGTTCTACGGGAGTTCGACACATCTACTGACAACGACGTGTCGTAACCAAAATTCATCTAATGCGATAGTATGATACGTCATGTTTTATATTTAATTATTATCCCTTGGCCCTAACTAGACCATAGACGACATCCACTGAGTGCATGATTATTACTATAATTGCAGTAAAATTGTAGAACATGTATATGACAAAAATATTACTCTGAAAATGTCAGAACTCTGCAGTAATAAAAATGTGTTAAGTACGCGGAATACAGATGTGTCCCCTCCAAATAGTTTTAGTGTATAACAATGTATAACTGTTTAAGGTACTTGTCAATTGGTCACGTGTAACTATCATTTAACCTCAAGACAAGAAGACAACCGTTGCGCATTAGTACAATAACCGGTACCTATATCATTATATTTGATACACATTATTTGTGCATATTTTTCATAGGAATATTTTTATAAATATTACACTTATCATCTATATCCTATACCAAAGTCGATACGGTGGATCAAATGAGTAGTATAATAATTGGCTTTTGTCTGTAAAAAAGATTCACTTGATGTGTGAACATCACTAGCTCGATATGATACTTAATTCCTCAGCGTGACAGTTTTCTGTGTACCACMTACGTAAATAAATTTTAATTAACAGTAGCATTGTATAAATATTTATAACAAAAAATAAATGCCTAATTTATTTGTATACTGATGGTCAGGTATAGTGTTTTTTTAGTACCTATATTTAACGTTTTTAAATACTTTTTAGAATAGGTTGGTATTTTGTGAATTTTAATATTAAATATTTTTGTTAATATTTACAAAAAACTACATTAACCATAATAAATACTTGAGTCCCTCGCAATAACCCCATGACCTTTTTGAAACAGTTGTAGTATCTTTTATACCCTCGGAATAATTGCATCATTGAAATCGTATGAATTATATAAATAACTGTATATACCTATATACTTAAAGAATAGAGAGAGAACAGATGGTGCGCGTTAGAGCGTTACGTTCAGTCATGATTTTTATTGTTTTTCATAAATTCAAAATATTTCTATGTATGTATATTATTGCCTATTGTGCCGGACAAGAAAAAAAGGACGCGTCAAAAGCTCGGTCAAAGGCATAAAAATCAAGAGCCATTATAATAATAATAAAATGCGGAATTGTGAGCACAATCGAATCATWTAAAATAATAATAGCAATAATATTATATTTTCTGCCACCATAAGAAGGCCGCTACCTCCACCAGTCAGAGAATAAACCGTAAAAGTAAAATTCTGTTTGACGAAATTACACGCTGTGCGTAAAATAAAAATATACGTTTAAAGCTTATATTGACCTAAAGCTATTATATACTCGCCGTCGTTTATTCACTATGTACAATAAGATAAAATATAAAATTATTACGTGCAATGGACGGACAACCGGACAAGCGCATAAGCAAAAAATGTTATAATAAATATTATTATAGGTACAAAAAGACCTTAGAACAAAGACGGATCGATAATACTGTGCTCAACTTTCTCTTTAGGTATCGAACAAAAACACCCGACTAYATTATAATTTATAACATTATATGTACCAGTACCAGCTATTCCGTCTTATAATAATACGAGTATCAGCCATTTGTTAAACATTCCTCGATCTCGTTTTGTTTACCTCGAAACACGGTATAAAATTGTACACAATGGCACACGTTTCAACAGGTGTTCAACTTTTGTGTAATTCAACTTTTCATTTATATTATAGATTCGCTACGACAAAATAATGTAATAATACAACATACACACCACATACGCGCTGTATAGAAGGTACTTGTAGGTACTAATGTACTATTATAATATTATGTCTATGTAATATGTATAATATGCACCTCGATAGCTCTRTAATATGCAATATTATGCTAGTTTATAATTCTTAACGTTTCTGTAACTATAGTAACGACATCATAATATTTATGTACCTATACCTAAACTAGTTTAAATTAATTCAGTTATTTATCCAAACAGGTTATRCCGTTTATTACTCATTATTGCAATATATGACTCGTCGGTATTGGTTAATGTTTATCTCTTTTTATTTAATACGATTGGATTTCTTGCGTTTTTAAAATGTATATTATTGCCGTGACCCAAAATGTCAATTTAATTAATCTCTATTTTTTTTTCAAATTGTCTCATAGTGGTGCTTTTATTGTATAACTTATTTTAATAGATAACAATAACAGTGATTACTTCAAATTGTTTTGTTAAAACGTATAACTTATATTACATTATAACATTATAAATCAAAATCATAATATTCAAGATAATATTAAGGTATTAATCTTACCTTGAATACCCTTACGTTTGAGGTTTCGTTTCTTCATCGATTTCGGTTTATTTTATCTGTATTCGACATTTTTAAATATGAATCGCATACTGTTAGATAATATACATAAATTTGTTATAGTAATTATTATTTTGTCTCGTAATGTTTTACTTAACCCAATATACCTACCTATATGATGTTTGCATACTCTTATCTCTTATAGCTATAACCTATACCTAGTGATTACTATTTTTTGTCTGTTATACATATACTTTTCATTCTTTAGAAAATTTATAGTTATCGAATAACTTTTAAC